TCTCTCTCTCTCTCTCTCTCTCTCTCTCTCTCTCTCTTTCTTTCTTTCTTTCTTTCTTTCAGCTCTGAGTGCCACTGGGACCGAGGAAGGAAGAGGGCTGAGCAACCCCAGTTCCTAAACCCGGCTCCTACACAAAGCAGCAGCAGCGTTTCCTGGTCGCTTCTCCACCCGATGGCCCCCGTTGCAAAGATCTGGCCTTGCGTTTCTCTCCTTGGCCTCATCCTGTTCTGGAATGTGCTGTTCTTCTTCAGGCTGTCTGATAAGCCCAAGGAGTCTCCAAGGCACAACACCACCTTGACCATCCTGATCTGGAGCTGGCCCTTCGGGGCAGTCACAGACCTCACCGGCGACGTCTGCTCCAGGCTCTACTGCATCACAGGCTGCCAAGTGACCACGGACCGCAGCCTGTTCGGCCAAGCAGACGTGGTGGTCTTCCACCACCAGGAACTCCAGTATGGAAGACACCGCCTTCCACCGTCAAAGGCCCACCCTGGGCAAAAGTGGGTTTGGGTCTCCCTGGAGTCTCCAAGCCACACCAAAGCCCTGGAGGGCTGGGTGGGGAATGAATGGAACTGGGTCCTGTCCTACAGGCGGGATGCGGATCTCTTCGTCCCCTACGGGGAGCTGGTGCCTCACTCACTGGACGTGGTGGACATCCCAGAGAAAACCGGCTTAGTGTCCTGGGTGGTCAGCAACTACCATCACACCCAAGCGAGAGCAGCCGTGTACCGCAACCTGTCCAGGCACGTCAGAATCGACGTGTTTGGGGAGGCAAGCAAGAGGCCCCTTTGCCCGGACTGTCTGCTGCCAACTATCGCCAAATACAAGTTCTACCTCGCCTTCGAGAACTCCATCCACCGGGACTACATCACGGAGAAGCTCTGGAGGAACGCTTTCCTCGGTGGCTCCGTGCCCATCGTCCTGGGCCCCTCCCGCACCAACTACCAGCAGTTCATCCCTGCCGACTCCTTTATCCACGTGGACGATTTCAAGTCAGCCAAGGAACTTGCCACTTTCTTGACCACCATGAACGAAAGCCACTACCGAAGCTTCTTTGCCTGGAAGCGGAGCCACGCGGTCAGGCTCCACGAGGACTGGCGGGAACGGTTCTGTACCATCTGCCGGCAGTACCCCCACTTGCCCCAGAAGAAAGTCTACCTGGACTTGAAGCGGTGGTTCTGGGATGGCTAGCCTCTGCAGCTGAAGCCAGAAACACCCCGGTGAAGCGCAGACCATCCCGCGGCTCTTCTCCTGGTCCAGAGGTGCCCCCTGGCTCTTTAGAAGACCCCTGCCTCCCAGGGTAAGGTCCCCGCGTTCGCCTCGATGCTCACCTACGAGGCCTTCCCTTTTTCCAATTATCCCCCCTTCTTACTCTGGGGTTCAATACTTTTGTTCTCCAACCTGACTGACCGACTTTCCTTTGCTCAGGTGCCCCCAACGCAGTGAAGTTCCTCAAACTTTGCTAAGGCCGAAAGAGCTCAGATCCTGCCCCTCTGCCCCAATTTCACCACCCTGGGATGATGGGATGTGTAATTGAGCCCGGGGCGTGGCGGGGAGCGAGCCATCCCAAGAGGCAGAGAAAGGCGCGAAGCTCCGGAGATAGCATCTGGCGGCAGATGGGCCCGGCCTTCACTTTCCTGTTTACCCCCGTGAGACTGGCAGGAGAGGAAGCGAGAAAGCTCAGCGCCCCTCGCAGGCTGACCCCGCCCCCGCCCCGCCC